TTTGTTTAATTTTAATTTAAATGTAAATAGCTGGATGTGGCTTGCTGCTGTTGTTAGCTGCCATTGAGTAAGCCCCTGACTCATGGTGACTCCATGTACAATGGAACAAAATTCTCAGTCCTGCATCATTCTCATGATTGGTTGTGGATTGGTTTTCACTGGCCTGATTTTTGTAAGTGCATTGCCAGGCCTTTCTTCCTAGTCTATCTTATAGCCTAGAAGCTCCACTGAAACCTGCTCAACATCATAGCAACATGCAAGCCTCCACTGACAGACAGGTGGTGGCTGCACATGAGATGCATTAGCTGGGAATCGAACCTGGGTTTCCCTGATGGAAGGTGAGAATTCTACCAGTGAATGGCTCCCAGATGTGGCTGTGGCTACTATATTGGACAGCATAGCTCACCTCTCAGAAGGGCTGGACTTTCCCTCTTTGGCTGGGTTCAAACTGGCTCTGCTGAGTGCCCTGGGCCCCAAAGGGGTGCTTTGGCATCAGGATTAAGAGACCCTGCTTCAAGCCAGAGTCTGCCTCCAATTAGCTAAGGGAGCAGCATCCAGCCCTGAGATTTTTGTGCTGCGCTGAGAGCATAAGCTCTTAGCTCTTGGGCTCTGAGAAGCTCAAGGGATCTACCCCATAAGAAGCACCGGTGATGGTGCCTGGAGGAAGGAGTTGGGAAAGCAGGAGGCGGGGACAGTGGGAAGTGGAAGGGGAACAGGGCCTTTAAAGAAATCATGAATTTGAAAAAGTAGTAATACATAGTGCTTGTTACCACCACCTGCCTATCAGTTTGTCATACTGTGGTGGCTTAGGTGTTGCTATGATGCTGGAAGCTATGTCACTGGTATTTCAAATACTAGTAGGGTCACCCATGGTGGATAGGTTTCAGTGGAGCTCCCAGACTAAGACTAGGAAGAAAGTCCTGGTGACCTCCTTCCAAAAACTAGCCAATGAAAACCTTATGGATCACAACAGAACATTGCCCAGTATAGTGCTGGAAGATGAGTCCCCTAGGTTGGAAAGCAATCAAAATACACAGTGATCACAACAATGAACTCCAGCATACCAACAATAGTGAAGATGGCAACATTTCATTGTGTTGTACATGGAGTCACCATGAGTCGGAGCCAAATTTGTGGCAACTAACAACAATTGGGATATGTTGTCTGGAGCTCAGCATAGGTTACAGCAGCAGTTGTTGATCTGGGCAAATGCCTGCCTTGCTGGAGTTTTTGCCTTGGGGGGCAGACAGGCAGTGAACAAGGATATCATTCAGTGAACAAGATGGGAGCAGAAAGCGAGAAGGCCAATGATGTCAAGAAACAGGGTGAAAGAATGGGGGGCAGTGCTTTCAATAGTGTGGTCGTGGAAGGCCTTTCTGAGGAGGAGGCATTTGTGTTGAGACCTGCATGAAGACAAGGAGGCAGCCAAGCAAAGATGAGGGCAGAACATTCAAGCAGAAGGAAGAGAAAAAGCAAGGGCAGAGGCCCTGAGGACAGAAGATGGTTTGTGTTTGAGATGCCATCTCCTCTTCCTCACTTCCTCTCTACCTTAGGTTGGGTTCTTTAGAGAAGCAAAACCAGTAAGGCATATAAATACATATATAGAGGGATATATATCAAGGAAATGGCTCATGCGGTTGTAGAGGCTGGAAGGTCCAAGTCCATGGGTCAGGATAGAACCTTCTCCTGATTCGTGTAGCCACAGGGGCTGGTGAACCCAAGATTGGCAGGTCAGAGAGCAGGGCTCTTGCTCACAGGGTGCGAAGATCGATGAATCCCAAGAGCGGCAGGCAAGATGGCAGGTAAGCTGTTAGCTCAAGTCCCAAGAACTGGAGGTCAGACGAACAGGAGCCAGCTGCAGGATTCAGTGAGCAAAAAGCCTCCGAGCCTTGCCAGAATGTCCACGTATATTCGATGTAGGCCACAGGCTCAGGGAAACTCCCTTTCAACTGATTGGCTATTCACAGCAGATCCCATCATGGAGGTGATCACAACGTCGTACAAGTGCCAAACAACTGAGAATCATAGGCCAGGCAAGTTGACACACAACCTTAACCATCACACCCTCTCTCCTTAGCACTGCAGTGTGACTTTCACCCTCAACAGTGCCCTGAGGTAGTCCTTGCTCGGGACCCCTTATTGTCTGACCAGTGGCTTTTGTGGGTAATGCTTCTTACTCTGGTTGTCCTGCTCGTCTTGATGCCCCTTATCACACATGAATAAGGAC